TTTCTTTGGCCAAATTACTTGTTAAGTGCTCCTGGTTCTCTGTACTTTTTCTCTTCTTTTCCTTTTAAAATTCCAACATGCTGCTAATAGCACATTATTTTGGTCAATGGTGACCACACACACCCTCCACTTTTGCTCCAGTGGTCGCTCCATCTCTTTCCTTTCACGTCCCTGGGACTTCCTCCAGTCATCCCCACGTCCATCCTCTGCCCTCCTTCAGAGGCTGTGACACTCTCGGGGACAGTCCTGAGCCTCTTCACTCAAAACACCACTGGCAATATGAAAGGAGGGTTAAACCCCACGTTCCCCTTGTACAATAGCTAAGTCTGGGGCTCATTTTGACACTTCCAGAGAAACGAATAAGTCAGTAATGCCTAAGAGAGTGAATGCTTTTTAAGGCTCATACTAAGTCAAAAAGAACCACTATGAAGTAAATAAGGACAAACACCCCCTTTTAATGGATACCAAGGAACTGAACAGATAAATTAGTTTTTAGGTTTCAGAACCCTCCTTAAAAGCATCCTTTTCCTAACTGGGTCTTAAAAGCCTGCAGTTTCGGTTTCCTCACTCATGATGGAGTGGGCTGGGCTACCTCTCTCCCGCTGCTTCCAGCCAGATACTTTGCAATGCCAAGCAACGAAATTTCCATTTGTTTTTAGCTCTCAAAAAGTAGTGACGACTGTTTTTCCTTTCCTGTCCATGAATTCCACTCGCTATGAAGCACTGCACGTCCAGACTCACCTGCTGCAGACCACTGTGACCTCCCAAGGCGGGGGGCGGGGGGGGGGTGCCTACAGCGCAGGAGAGTAAGGCCCAGGTTGAGGGACTCCCGGCCAGCGCGCCGAGACAGTGCGGAGTCACAGGAAACGGTTCCTGTTAATTTCTTAATCATCTTATTAACCGTTCTGGGGTCTAAGCAAAGGCCAGAAAGGAATACATTTTACTCATCAATCTATTTCTTCATCTTTTAGGGAAATTAAGTCTTCGGAAAAATAATGTCTCAAACTCCACGAAAATATTCCCCATACATCTTTCTACACCACTACATCTCCAGGAGGGCGAGTCCTGTAAAAACCACGAGCTTTCTTTCATACTCCGGTCGCTGGCCAGCTCTGCACTAGCGAAGTGGAGGTAAAACCCCCTCAACCACGTCTGTCAGAAAAAACTAAAATTCCCAGTTTAGGCTGAGTATGGACTAAAGGCAGCCACTATTTTCAGTCTCATCCAAGGATAAGACACCTGAGTGGAACACAATAAACCAGAAGCCCACAGCACCTGCACCCCAGATCATCCTCACCTCCCCCCCTTCCCCACCCAACCTCTCCTGGAGGTGGGACTCAAACAAAAATGCACGTCAGGTAAAAAACGCCACAGAAATGTCACTGCCATTGTAAAATGCCCATCACGTAATGATCACCTACCTGGTCATACTTTCAAAAGTACACTATGAGGAAAACACTTTTCCACAGGCCAGGAATTACAGGTGGGAGATTTCTCTTTTTATATCAAGGAGCCACAAATTAACCTTCCCTTTCCTACCAACTCTCCGCTATCAAAATAAAATTGTTAGGAACTCCCCTGGTGGTCCAGTGGTTAGGACTCAGCGCCCCAACTGCAGGGGGCATGGGCTCAATCCTGACTGGGGAACTAAGATCCTGCAAGCTGCACAGGGCAGCCCCCCAAATAAACTGCTAAATTCGCAGCCTTTATTCTACACTGCAAGGAGCGCTGTGCTTTACCAAAAATTAAAGCTAGAGGCAGCAGTTAAAAAAAAAGACAGAAATAGACCGATCTTCAATATAAAAAATGCTTCTATATTCAATTATGTGATTGGAAAATTCTTTCCACAAAAAAAGGGGGGTAAGTGAGGGGAAGATAAAGTAGAAGTAAATAAATTCATTGAATAAATGATATGACTTCATTATTGGTGGTGGTCTTTATTCAGTTTAAACCACTCAAATTTGTTCTCAATATTATAATGGAAGCCTACTTTTTCACTGTAAATAACTACTGGATGTTCGTATTTGTTTAAAGGAGCAAATGGCAACACTAACTCAAAAAAACCCCCTGGAAGACAGATAGTCCTCCTATTAAGTGACCTGGGCCTACGCTTGTGTCTAAATTATGCCAGCGCAGCCAGGATGCTAATTAGACTTACGGGACCACACAAGTTTTCCTCAGATTTCTATAAGTGAAAAATAAGTTACAGACCAATTGAATTACTAGAGATACGTATGGGACTTTTATAAATACATGAATGAGGTAGGATTTCAATTTTAGACAGTCTCATCCTGAGTCAATGTTCAAAAGTGCAAGTCACTATGGAGCCGAGATTCGGATGCCTGGACCCTGAAAGCAGAAAATGGACCATCAGGAAAACAGAGGCGGTTTGTACCAGAAAGCATGCAACAGAAACAGGGTTACCCCCCAATCATCTGAGCAAAGTTCGATCCTAGGATGTTGAGTCAAGCGAACCACTAAAGAGAACCCTAGAAGCAAAGAACAAAACTTACAGTTTATTGTCCGTAAAAAGAAAGTGAGACCTAACGTAGAAATCACTGATTTCAAAACACACACAGTGCAATGAAAATATGATCAAGAATTAGCCAAGGTCAAGCCACTCAAAATACAGTAACAACGCAGATTAAAATGTATTTTAAATAAAACAATGTATGTTCACTGAAAAACCACCACAGACACCAAAAGGCTGACTGTGGTCATATCTAGGTCGAAGGATTCCAGGTGATTTTAATTATCTGTTTACTTTAATTTTCTATTGCGACCATATACTTCAAAAGAAAAAAAAAAAAGGAAATGAGTTCAAAAAAAGTTTTTCAAACACTGGTGGTTTCCAAGTGGGAAGACAATCCCAAACATAAAAGAAAACCCTAAACAATATTAATATTCATATAACATAAAATATGCCTGGATGGTTTACTAGCTTTTAACATTCTCTGTGGATCTAAGAAAAATTCTCCTTCCCCCTCGCAGACCCTCCTGCAGAGACCAATGCTACAATGAAGCATCTACTGAGTAAGAAAAGTCTTTGAAAGAAACAAATTATCTGAAACAAATGTAAGTCTGGGGGGAGGGGGCAGGGAACAGGACCACGAAGCAGACAGCACAGCTTTTTGAGATTACAAGAAGCTTACCCCCCAACACTTCCAGACAGTGCCCCATCCTCGGTCCTAAGCTAGAATTTACCTGGTCCTCATCCTCTTGGTTCCTGGATGCACCCGGCCACACCCATACTGAACTGTCAAGACACGCGGGCCACTGGCTACAAATGGTGTCAAAGCATCCAGGGGAAATCCTCGTCGAAGGCTAGCTCCCCTCTCAAGAGGAGTCCAGCCCTGCTTTAGGGAGGTCACTACTGGAGGAGACCGCTGGAGTATGCAAACCTTTGGCCCCCTCCCTCCACTGGGTGCCTAACCTGTTTCTGTATACCTGCTGCCAAAGCAAGCACGGTCACGGTGCCTAACCCGAATCCCTCTGCTTTGAAGATGGTAAAACGTGCCCAACATCCATAAGATGTTAGGAGGAAAACCCGAAGGAACTTTCTGACCAACCCAATAGATTCAAAGACCGCTGGGTCATCGTTAGGATCATCTTAAAAGAAAGCGAAGTCGCTCAGTCGTATCCGACTCTTTGTGACCCTATGGGCTGTAACCTGCCAGATTCCCCTGTCCATGGGTCTTCCCAGGCAAGAATACTGGAATGGGTTGCCATTCCCTTCTCCAGGGGATCGTCCCTACCCAGGGATTGAACCCGGGTCTCCCGCATTGCGGGCAGACGCTCTACCGTCTGAGCCACCAGGGAGCATTCCACAAATACAAGGTACGTCTGAATGAAAACAGGCAGACTGGAAACTGAGATGCTGGGTCCAGTCTCGGGAGGATTAGCTGGTGTGACCTTGGACCAGTCGTTTCAGCTGGGCCTCAAGTTTTCTCGCGTATGAAGCGGGGGAGGGGGTGATACACCCCGCCTCGGCAGGGGACAGCGTGAGGTCCAAAAGGCCGAGCTGCGTGCGCAGTCCAACCCAGCACAGGGGAAGCCCCGCGGGGCAGAGCTGCCGTGGTCCCTGCCCTGGCCTCGGTACGGGGCGGGAGGTGGGCCGCCGGCCCCTCCCCGTACATCCGGGCGACCGAAGCGGCCACAATCCAGGCCGTCCGTCCGGGATCCCTCCCGAGGCCGGCGCGGCCTGGACACAAACCGAAACCGAAGAGCTCATGTGACAGCGGAGGCCGGGATGCAGCCTCCGCCCGCGCTCAGCCCGGGAGACGCCGGTCTCCACCCAACTCGGCCATCTTGAGAGGCCGAGCAGACAAAGCGAGCCCATTGTCCCCGCGGGTCTCCGTCCCCGGGGGGGGGGCGCACCCGGCGGCTGCGGGTTTGGCGGGGCGCCCCCTCCGCAGCCCCGGGCCCCGCACCTTTGAGCGTGGAGCGCTCCACCAGGACCGTGTGCACCTGCGGGTCCGAGAGGAACTTGCGCATCTGCTCCAGGGCGCTCTTCTCCTCCAGCGCCGCCTCGAGCGCGGCCGGGGCCTCGCCGCCGTCCTCCAGCAGCAGCGGCACCAGCTTGCGCAGGTGCTTCTGCAGCACCGACACGTCGGCCACGTTCTGCACCGCCGACACCTCCAGGCCGGCCGAGCCGTCCTCGCCGCCGCCCCCGGACTCCGACATGGCGCCGCGCTCGGGACCCGCGCGCAGCGCTGAGGAGGCGGCCGTGACTCGACGAGAGAGCGAGCGAGCGAGCCGGCGCGCGAGAGAAACGGGCGACGCGGGCCGATCGTCCGCTACCCGCGGCCGACTGAGGGAGAGCGGGAGCCGGCTCCGCCCTAAAGGCCGCCGCCCGCCGTCCACGCCCCGCCCGCCGCGGCCACGCCTCGCGCACCGTTACGTCAGGTCGTCGCGCGCCCTCCCGGCGCGGCCACTGGCGCCTCTCGCGGCGCCTACGTCATGACGTCGCGCATGCGCGCAGGCGGCCCCAGCGGCCCCCACGCGACGCCTTCTGGGACTCGTAGTTCCAGCGCTAGGCGGAGCCCCCGCCGTCCCGTCACCTCGACCCGTGAAGGTGGGAACTTGGCTGGGCGCGGGGCGGGGTGGTCAGGGATTCCGTTCTGTCCTGTTCACTGCTGCGGCCTCAGGGAGCAGCACAGAGCCTAAGACACTACAACAATGTTGAATGGATGAATGAATGAGTACATAAATGAATGGTGTTAACCAGTTAACGCGTTTAGAACACTTATCTCTTGCTTGATGTTGTTCTAAGCCTTTAACCTGTGCTCTTCCTTTGAATGAATGAATGACTACGCTGTGTCGAGCTAAAACATAGCTCTCTGTGTTTTAGAACACAGATAGGGAGAGTGGGGATCTTTTTCAGAGGGGGAGGAGAAGAGGGGAGTGTCACATTGCTAGCCCGGAAGGAGGGAGATTGGGAGGGGACATTCCCGGCGCAGGAACCAGCTTCTGCAAAGACAGAGGCCTGACTGCAGGAGAGATCTATGGGAAAGCCACAGGAGGTGACACTTGAACCGTGGGGTGAAGCCAAGCTGTTGTGGGTCCCGGTTGCTAATGGCAAAATGATTACCCCCAGGAGGCCCCGAGGACCAAGAGAGAGGCCTACATGAGAGCATCCGCATAGAACGGTGATGCTCCCCTAGCATCCTGAGCTGGCACTGTTTCCGAGGGTCTCAGCCTCGGGGGCCACAGAAGGTCGGGGCTGCAGTGCCTGCTCAGTACGTCTGCCCCCGGCTCCCATCTACCTGGACCTCCTCTGGTACACCGAGATGACTTAAGGGCCAGAATCCATGCTGCTCAGTTTTTGGTTTAGAAGTGACAGTTATTATAAAGAGTGTTAATTGGCTTTTGAAAGTTCAAACTCATAACTCTACTTTTTAAGTTGGGTGGAGGAAGGGAAGTCAAAGGCCCTATTTTTGTATCAAAATGCACAGTCAGAGAGCTAAGTCCTGATTGGTGGAATGACGATGGGCTGATTCAATTTCCCCAAATCATCTTTGGAAAACTGCAAAACATACAGTATGCCTATTCTTGCTCAATTACCGGGTGCCAAGTCCCAGGAGCTGCTGGAACATGAAGACTAATCAGATGAGTCTTTGAGAAGCTCATGGAAGAGGGGACAGGTTAATAGCCCATCCTTTTCCTGACCTCCATCAGTCCATTCTTTTTTGTGTGTGGAATTTTTTTAATTGAAGTATAGTTGATTTACAATGTTGGGTTATTAATAGCTTCATGTGTATAGCAAAGTATATATACACACATAGGTATGTGTGTGTATATATATATGTATACGTATATATTTTTTGTTTCCGATTCTTTTCCATTGTAGGTTATTACAAGATATTGAGTGTAGTTCCTTGTGCTATACAATAGATCCTTGTTGTTTGCCTGATTTATATATGGTAATGTGTATATGTCAGTTCCAAACTCCTAATTTGTCTCCCCTAGCCCACCCCACTAGAGCTTCCCTGGTGGCTCAGATGGTAAAGGTAGGAGACCCGGGTTCAATCCCTGGATTGGAAGATGCCCTGGAGAAGGGGATAGCTACCCACTCCAGTATTCTTGCCTGGAAAATTCCATGGACTGAGGAGCCTGGTGGGCTACAGTCCATGGGGTCACAAAAACTCAGACATAACTGAACAATTAACATTTTCACCCCACCCTGCTATTCCCTTTTGTAAGCGTAAGTTTGTTTTCTATGTCTGTGAGTCTATTTACGCTTTGTAAATAAGTTCATTTGTATAATTTGTTTTAGATTCCACAGAAGTACTATCATATGATATTGGTCTTCTGTCTGTCTTATTTCACATCAGTCCACTCTTGTATCATATGCCTGAACAGACCTCACTAATGTTCCTGGGAAAAGATAAAGCACCTTTAGTGAGTTTGTGCTGTGATCATAAAGGTAACGAAAAACAGTAATGCCACCAACAACCAACACTGACAGTGCGTCATTACTAGGCACTCTGCCGAGGGTTGCTCCCTGCCTCATGTCCTTTGGGGTAGGGCTGGGATGGAAAAAGATCTATTAGGTGCAGGTTAGTGAACCCTGAACTGACTACACACCGTCTGAGCCCCAGAAACCCAGCAGTGACCTGGCAGATGGAGAGAGGCTGCCTGCAGCCTGCACGGTGACTCAGCACGACCCAGGAGACGCACTTGGGCCTCCACTGGACTCAAATGTCTGCAGACTGGCTCCGAGTCAGGGCAACAGAGTATCAGACTCCAGAGGTGCAGCCCTATATGTCTGATGGCTTCAAAATTAAGTGTTATTTCTAAAAGGATGGAAATCAGAGGAACCTGAGTAATCAGGATCGGTACATTGGTCAAATGTGCTTGCATTTCTGTTTTCCAAAGATGTTTTCCTGATAGCTCAGTTGGTAAAGAATCCGCCTGCAATGCGGGAGACCTGGGTTCGATCTGGTTTGGGAAGATCCCCTGGAGAAGGGGAAGGCTACTCACTCCAGTATTCTGGCCTGGAGAAGTCCATGGACTGACTATATAGTCCATGGGGTCGCAAAGAGTCAGACGCGACTTCCACTTTTTTTGCTGTTTAGTAAATACATAGTAAGAATTGTCAGCGTTGATTGAGTGCCAGGCACTGTAAATTCCTTGTTCTGAGGGCTAGCTAGACTGCCCCAGGCTGACAGGGGAGGGGGTATTTTTGTGAGATGCCGCCTTGGCCTCCTGGGGCAGGGCTTCCTGGGAAGCTGACTCTTCGTGGAGGTGCAGGCCGTCCATCCAGAAGTGGCCTCTCCCCTTCTCCCCTGCATACTTGTATTGTCATCTCCGCTTTCTCTTGTCCATAGTAGAATCTGCTTTCTGTTGGCAGTGGGCAGTGCGTGCTGGCGAGAGAATCCTTTCTAAGGTGATGGGGGATGGGAGTGGCTGCTGGACCACTTGTATTTTATCTGAAATTGGTGATGAACTGGACTGCACCGGATGGCTCTTCAGATCTAAGTTGGGGACTCGCTCTCAGCCCCACCCTCCTTTCCCCTCCTTCTCCTGACCCTGGACCACACTGAGCTCTCAGCCCAAGCCCTGCTGGCCCAGCACTTTAAGGTTCTGCGCCTGGGGTCCCTCTCTCCCCCGGGGAAATTCCACACTGGGCTCGCCCATTCATTCGTTCATTCTTTTCATGGGCCTGTTCCCAGCACCAGCAGGGCCTGGACGCACATGGGCGGGTGGTTGGTTGATGGCTGTGAAACGAAGGCCTCACGCCCGGGGAACGGGGCCGGGTGGCAGCGGCGGCTGGTCCACAGGGCGCACGTTAGGTGTGGAACCTCCCCAGCTGCTTGAGACCGGGCGGCGGCATCCCGGCGCCGGCGCGGGACTCCACCCACCGATCGCTCCCTCGGGCTGCAGGACACTCTGAAGACGCTCGTCCCAGCCTCCACCCTCTTTCCTGTCTCGGTGCCTTGTCTATCTAGCGAGCCTCGGGGCGAGGCTGGAAGCGCCCCGGGCTCCTGGCGAGGTTGGGGAGCCGAGGGGGAGTGCCCCAAAGGAGCAGGGCGGTGTCGTGGCGCCCTTTAGTGGTGCCGCGGAGGACCCGCACTCCGGAGCAATCTCCCGCCCGAGACCTCCTCCCAGCCTGCTGGCCGGGTCCATCCCAGGGATGGATGCCTCCAGGCTCACCTTCCCAAGGTCACCCGGGTGACCGATCCAGAGGCGCTAAGCGAGCAAGGGCACTGACCAGGGGGGGGAATGCCCGCCCGTGGTCCCGCCTGCATCCCGCCACCCATTGGTAAAGTTGGGGAAATTTGCCTCTAAAGCAGGCACTTCAGTCTCTCTCCTGAGCCCCAGGCCCTTTGAGACACCTCCCACTACCCTGACCACTCCTCTCTGGAGGGACCCAGCCCCTTCTCTTACCTGAGAACGGTCCGTGTTCCCAGCCGAGGCCACTGCTCCCTGGGGGCGCTGGAGCCCACCCCCTCTCAGGGACATCGCCTCTGAAATTCTCCCCGCCCTCTCAACATTCCCTCTCTCCCTCCTGGACTCTCATCAGCCGCGTCCAGCCTTCCCCAATGCACCCTTTCTTTGAAAAGAATGGAGAGAAACCCCTGCCACACCTCCTGCCAGCACGGCTTATGCTTTTCAGCAAAACTCCTTGAAAATGAGTGTAGCTGGGGGCTGCCTCTCAGCCGACCCCCGCCCCTACCTGCAAGTGCTGTGGTGAAGGTCACCAGATGGCCTCCACGTGGGCAAATCCACTGACCCCTTCTGGGTCCTCCTCTTTCTTGATCCTTGGGTGCTGTGGACACAGCGGGTCTTGTGTGTCCTGCCAACACCCTTGAGCCCTGTGACACTCGGTACATCTGTACACGGTGACTCCCCACACCTTAGGAGTCACACCCGCTGTCATCACATGGAGTGTTCCAGAAAATGCCTATCCAACCAGTTTGGCTGAAGTGTTAAGACTTTATAGCTCTGCTGCTCGTTCTATTGAGAGATACATTGAACTTTCAGCGTATAACTGTGCAATTGTGTCTTTCCACACAGCTCAATCTGTTTCTGATTCCTGTATGTTGCAGCTCTGTTATTAGATACATAAACATTTCACATGGTTGTGACCTTTTCATGAATTGATTCCTTGAACATTATGAAATGCCTCTCCTAGTCCTAGTGGAATTATTTGCTCTGAAATGTACTTTGTCTGATGTCAGCACATTCTCTCGTCTTTCTCTGGATCAGTGTTAGTGTGATGTCCTTTCCATCCTTTCAGTTTGGTTCAGTTCAGTCGCTCAGTCATGTCAGACTCTTTGCGACCCCATGAACCACAGCACGCCAGGCCTCCCTGTCCATCACCAACTCCCAGAGTTCACCCAGATCCATGTCCATTGAGTCGGTGATGCCATCCAACCATCTCATCCTCTGTTGTCCCCTTCTCCTGACTTCAATCTTTCCCAGCATCAGAGTCTTTTCCAATGAGTGAGTTCTTCCCATCAGGTGGCCTTTTGGAGTTTTAGGTTCAGCATCAGTCCTTCCAGTGAATATTCAGGACTGATTTCCTTTATTTTTCCGTCCTTTACTTTTACCCTGTCTGCACCCTTACAC